TCAAGTGATAGTGATTGGTGTATGAGTCGTACGATTTTTGAATCAAGCACGGGCAACACCGGGCCATGCTGCTAGTGTTTTACTATAAATTTCTCCAAGAGAACTATTAATTCTAACAAGTATGTGAAGAAAATTTAAACTAAATTTTGCTACCGGCCACAACACGAAATGCAAGCAAAGATCACATTCTCAACAATTAATACACTTACTTTAGTGTTATACTGTTTTTCACCCAATATAAGGCTCAGAAGCTATTCACGGTAGAGAGTTGCTGAATGAAGCTTTTGTAATGAGTAAATAAGAATTGGAAATTGTCTGGATGTATAGGATAAATAACGGCTGAAAATAGAGCTAAAGAGGTTAAAATCATCGTGATTGGGGAAGCATCTATTTCAGCAGAGTAACAATAATTCTAAAGAAGTGAATCCGAAGCGAATACGACTAAGCAGGTGGCATTGTGGGTCTAAGAACTACGAAATGCAGCACATCTGAATATTTGCTATGGAAACAACAATAGAATAACAATAAGCTTACAACGTCTTGTCTTTGCGAAGAAGTGGGTTTTTAGGGCATAAAATAGTTCATCACTCATTGTGTCAAGGCTTTTGGATTGTGTCAAGGCTTAGAAGAGATGATTGTATTACTTCAGTACAGATATGTTAGTAATACTTTACTTTTAGTTTGATCTGGCTCTTTATAGAAAAATCGACCCTGAAGGCATCTCCATCCTTCTCGGTGTGTCCTTGCGTCTTCTCTACAATCTCAGCTAAATTATGTTCTGCCAAGAGAATCCTTAATGTAGACGCTGTTTTGACTCATCAAAACCACTTGGATTTCTCAGACAGTTGTCAACGGCAACTTCAGGATCAGAGATCTAGTCTATGTTATTGATGCGTGTCTTAAGCCTCTATTCTACAACTCGTTTTGAAGATGTGGGTACTGATACTTAATACAAGGTCGTGAGGTACTCTGTTTAGAAATGCTCAAAGCCTATTATCTAGAAAACAACTATGCTCACATCCACTCAGACAAAATAAACTGTCATGGGTCCTTACCTATAACTACAGAATGAACTCTTTCTAACACTATGTATGCTACGCCTCTCAAGATAGAGGGTCGAATCAAGCCGAGCTTGACGGTCGAACTCTCTGCCTCTGAGCAGAGAGGAAATCGGACAAGGCTCCGCCGAAGGGCAGAGTCTCGTTCGGGTAGGTTGACCAACCCGATCCCGTTTATACGGGTTCTACGGGCATTTTTTGGCCGAGCCTACGGGCTCGGAAAACCCACGTTAAACTCGGCCTTGTGCCACATGCAACCCTCGTGGGGGGGGCTAGATACCGAATAGAGCCGAGCTTCTCGGCTTGACAATCGAACTCTCAGCCTCTGAGCAGAGAGGAACCCGGATGAAGCTCCGCCGAAGGGTAGAACCTCGTTCGGGGAGGTTGACCAACCCGATTCTGTTTTTACAATTTCTACGGGCATATTTGTCCGATCCTACGGGCTCGGAAAACCCACGTAAAACTCGGCCTTGTGCCGCATCTATCCCTCGCGGGGCGGGGAAGTAAATACCGAATCGAGTCGAGTCGATAGTAGTTCACTCCAAACCAGACTGACAGTCATACTAACACCTTCCACATCTTGTATTATTATTTCGTGTAATATACCTTCGTTATTTCTACTCTTGTGTTCGGGTTGTTCTTCCTTGGTCCTAACCTGAACATAAAAACAAAGCTACAATGAAGAAAGAGTTGGTCACGATGTCCAAGAAATTTGTCGTAAAGTGTTGCACAGTTTTTCATAATTGTCTTGAGGCTTTAATGAACAATAACACAAGCTACATTAAGTAATTTAGTAAGTTTTAATATTTTTGGTATTCTGTGAGTTTTTTTAACAACTTTCTATATTATTAGGTTTGTTTACGCATCATCACTTTCAAAGGTTTTGTGATGTCAACGAATACTCGTTGTCACTTTCGTAATACTCGTTGTAGTAGAGACTTTGTAATCGCAGATACAACTATAGTAACGCCGTTGAACAATACTAGTGTCAGACGCCTTCGAATGACACACGCACTAATATTACTTGCTCGATAATAATCGCCCGAATAGTAACCACCGTAGAGAGATGTGAATAGAGAAATAGTAGAGTTAATAGAGTAGATAATAGCGGTTCGTATAGTAATAGAGGATAGAGAAGAAATAGCGATCGTTAGACGTCAGCTATTAACTATTAAATCAAAATATGCCGTGATAAAATGAAACAAAATAAAGTAAAATAAAGTACTACTAATAATAATAATACATATCAATGAAAAGCAAATAAATTAAAATAAAATAAGAAAAATAAAATAAAATAAAATAAGAGCCTTATGTAGGAACATATAAATATGTAAATAAATTAGTTAAAATATTTAAATGATTAGTAGTTTGATTTTGAATTTGAATTTTCTGTGATGTCAACGAATACTCGTTGTCACTTTCGTAATGGTCGTTGTAGTAGAGACTTTGTAATCGCAGATACAACTATAATAACGCCGTTGAACAATACTAGAGTCAGACACGTTCGAATAACACTCGCACTAATAATACGTGCTCGATAATACTCACTCGAAAAGTAACCACCGAATATTAATCCGTATAGGGATCAGTATAGAGAAATAGTATAGTGAATAGTATAGAGATAAAGGATAGTGTAGAAATAGTGATTCGTATAGTAATAGAGGATAGTGTAGAAATAGGGATCAATAAGGCGCCACGCTAATTATCATATATACATTTCCTTTACCATCACGTGATCTACTTATTCAAAATGGGATCGCCAGTGTTTGCACTCTGGTGATCTGTGTTCAAACTCAAGTGTCAGCAGCGGCACTTTATTCCTATATAACAAAAGGTTTCTGTAATGTTGCAGGTTTTTGCGTCACCAACTTGTATTAAATCGACTGATGACAATAAAAGATAAAAAGTGATTGGGATGAGCTAACCGAAAGGTTGTTACTTTCTATAAAGCAAGTTTAAGTCAAAAATTATCCACACTGTCGCCATAGGTTTGTTACCCTGCCTTTTGCTCATGCGTGCTGTTGATACTACTGTAGTCACGTGATCGAAGTTTGAACTTGATTGCGCCAGTTTTTTTTTCTGTTGTTACAATATAAACATGACCGCTCCGCTATCAGTGTGCCGCTAGGCTAACAAAGAACAGTGATCCGAATTTGCAGAGAACATGCTATCTCATCGATGATAAATCGCCGGTTCACAATTACCATTTTTCGAGCTTGCTGAATTTTCTCTTCAGTTGTTGGATGTTGACGGGCGTTCTGCTCCTTCTTCGTGCGTCACATTTGTCCGGCCATTTATTAAGTTCCCGATCCACTCATACAAACTTCTACACAGTAGCGCACTGTCGCCGTACTCTGTTAAAAGCCTCCAATGAATTTCAGCCCCTGATACACTTTCCGACCAGAGAAATCGGATCATTGCTCTTTGTTCCTCCTTGGTGCATACTGCTAGCGGAGCGGCCATGCTTACACTGTAACCCCAGCAAGTAACTGGCGCGATCAAGCTCAAACTTTGATCCCGTGACCACAATAGTACCAACTATAAGCACTCATGAGTAGAAGACAGTTTGAAAAAAAATTTAAAGATGTGTATATAGCGAAAGTGTGGACAATTTTTTACTCACCATCGTATTGAAGCTAGACTAACGTTATTCTTTCGTCCCCAGGCAAAAACTGATGCAGCCAGCACGGGAATTTTTCAGTCCAACTCCGTATTCATATATCACGTCTCCGGATTATTATTTTTCTGAGTCTTTGCAGAAATCGAGTGATACAATAAGAAATTCCAGGAAGATTGTAAAATGTATCGAAAGCCATTTTTGCTGAGAAAAAAAATGTCATTTTTGCTGAGAAAAAAAATGTTCTACGTCACAGAATTACGATGTTTACTGAAAAACTGCAACAGTCTGCAAAACAATGATAATTTCTGGAAAGCATTCAGCTATTTATTTTAACAAAAAGAAAAAAAAAAAAAAAAGACTACCAAGAACAATGAGGCTTTATTCTCCCTCATTTTTACCCCTTTTAATAATTAATGCACTTACTCCAGTATCTCCTTTTCAAAACAGTCTATGAATTCCTCTTTCGTGATCCCTATTAGTAGCACATAGACGTGGTGTAATCGTGTTATGGTCCAAACGTCCTTGTACCACGGTGATAGTCCAAGGTAGAACCAATAAAGAAGAAGTCGAACACGGATATGGAATAACACAGATAGATTACAAACAGAAATATATACAGAGAAGTAGAAAAGTGTTAGTATGAACAATCAGGTTTAGTAGGGAGAACAATGTAGTCTCGACCAGTATCACTATTCCAATGTCTTGTAGTAATTGTCTGAACGCGACTGTGTTTCGGACTACCTCTGACTCGACTGACTGACTCGCTCGCTCTGACTGACTGACAGACTCCTGACGGACCTCAGACCAGACTGAACAGTATTTAGTCAGCCCCCACCCCCACGAGGGCATCATGTAGCACAAGGACGGTTTAACGTGTGATCTCCGAGCCCGTGTGATCTCCGAGCCCGTAGGCTCGGCCAAAACTATGCCCTCTGAACCCGTATAAACGGGTTCAGGGTCGGTTTACCTCCCCGAAAGAGACTTCGCCCTTCGGCGTAGCCTCGTTCGTGTTCCTCCCCGCCCGAAGGCAGAGGAGTTCAACCGATCAGCCGATCAGCCGGTCGCCCGACTTCGAACTGAACTCTCTGATTCATCTTGAGGCGCAGTATTTATTACCTTTGGAATAGTCCATTATGTTATTATGGGTAAGGTCCTATAATAAATAGTTAGCATGCTTACCTCACTAGATCAATTAAGACTGAATAGTGTGTTCAATTTCCACTTGATACCCCCATACTTTCGAACTTATGCCACACTTAAGCTACGCTAAGAAAATCAGCACTTACCTCCTTGCATTTTCTTACATCACACCCTCTGTGGGCTTACGGCCATATTACGTTGAAGCGCCGGTTCTCGTACGATCACCAAAGTTAAGCAATGTCGAACCCGGTTAGTATTTAAGTGAGTGACTACTTGAGAATACCAGTTGATGTAAGCTTGGATGTGTGGATGGTGTAATGAATAATGGCACGTCGACTAAGGGATAAATCCGGTTCAGTATATTTACTTACGCGCCAATACCCTTATGAAAAGGTATGAATTCAACTCTTCTTTCCCCAGCTATGGGTTAATTAGTAGAATTTGTATCAGTAAATCAATATTATATCCCCCGCCCAATCTCTTACAATCTGAAAATATTTTTCTGGTTATAAATAACCTGCAAAAAGTTGATAAGCGGTAAAAACAAATTTATCAAATCAATCAGGCATTGAGTTTGAAATCTCTTTCGTTTTCAACTGTAATCTTAAGGTTGGGAAAGGTCAGATTTAGTTGAGAACCAAATTCAAATTATACAAATAAGTTGACATACTTAAGCGAAGCGAAGGTTTTTCTTCCAACTCCATGTATTCGACAGAAAAGAATGGCAGATCCATTGCCATGATGCATGAAGAAATCACACAGTACAAGAGTTGCTGTTTACACATGCGCAGTAAAAAGTCTCCTCTGAACTGTTACAAGTAACTTCAAGGGCGGAAAGACGATATTCAGATTATCCAAAACAGCTGAATGCTAACAACACCGTCGTGAGCATAATCTCAAATCTATTTTCGATGATTCAAAGTTAGATTTTTCTTGAACAGAGTAAAGTTTCGAGACAAGCATTGTTTTCGTTGCTTTCATCGAATCTACTATATATAAAGGTTTCAGAGAATTCATTCGGCCTAGAAAGGCTAGAGAATTTACGGATGGAAAGAATATGAATAAAACAACAAATATTAGAATATTAGTCTGAATAAGGGTGTGTCTATATTTCTGAGATGAGGTATTATGTACATTATTTAAATGATTCGGACTATTGTCCTCATCTTTGTCGCCCGACAAAGACACATGGCACAGTGGATAAAGGCGTTGGTTAGATCCAGTGACAGGACCCAAAGAGTGTGAGTTCAATACCCCGTTAAGGCAGTGGAGAACTTTCAGAGGGAAAATTAACAGGAGATAACTGATAACTGACATCCATCAAACATGGCACGTGGAACTAGAACAGTCTATCCCAGTGAGCGAAATAAAGGGTTCAGTTCGACATTCCAACCACCTGAAGAAGGCCGGAGCGTACAACGGCCGAAGCGTTGTAATAAATATGTCGACAAAGATGAGGACAATAGTCCGAATAATGTAAATAATGTAGTCTCAATAATCTATAAAACAAACACAATCCATCATTTCCAAAATCAAAAATTGCTTTCAGATATATGGAACATCCTTCTGAATAATCATAAAAACACGCCATTTTACCGTGTCCCCCGATAATAAGGGGGTTCTGTGTGCACCTTTGAAGAATAAAGGGATCCAAAGAAAGCATTCAAGTTGAAAATGATTTTCGAAAATAGGAAGAATTTTGAAGAATTAATGAAGAATTAATGAAGAATGAAAAGAAATACAAAAGTCATGCGACAGACAGTGGTTGAAAACATTCAAAAAAAAAAAAATCAACTGGATTGGATTATATATATATATATATATATATATATATATATATAATAGAGAGCCAGACAAACCTACCTATTATTGGTAGGTTTGTCTGGCTCTCTAGGTTTAACTAGGTCTGCTCTACTTACTGTATTGAGCACTTTATTTAGTTATTTTGCTTACTCGCATCGGGTTTTTTTTCTTTGGATATTGGACTTGCATGCTAGACAATTATTTTCGGCTAACGTACATGTTCTTGGTTCTTTCTTTTTTTATACCTTTTTTCCCTTTGGTATTGGTTTGGTTACTTGCAAATCAAGACACCAAAGGTTTTCCGAACGAGTATAATTTCTTACACTTATAAGATTACTACTACTACTATATATATATATATATATATATATATATATATATATATTTACGCGGACAGATATCGGGACAGTTGCTTTGGTAACGAAGCTAAATTATGCAGAGGGAAGCCGCTTGGCCCACATTGCTCTTGAACTTTGTCGCGCATACACACTAAATTATGACACCCTTATTCACTTTCGTTGTCTATAGCAGTGCTTAGAAGGAGTGAATGCAGAGTTTCGTCGTTGCAACACACCACAAAGGTTTCATCAGTGATCATGGTGTGTATAGGAGATTCTATCCAATAACAACATTCCCCAGCTGCGATATTCTTCAGAACTTGCCGCTTGCAACTTTTTCCACTTCAAAAATCAAATTCTACTTGAAAGGAAGTAATATTTCAAGACATCCAGGCAATCCAAGAGAATGCGACGAGACAGCAAATCGCTTTGTCCAAAAAGCGGTCCCAGGAATGCATCCACCAATGGGTACGATGCTGGATAAAAAGTGCGGCTTCTGAAGTAGATTACTTAGAAGGAGATTAAATGCTGAACTGATATGTGTTGTTTTCTTTTTATAGTACCTGTACCGATACGTTTTTGATCAGGCCTTTTATATATATATATATATATATATATATATATATATATATATATAATGATTTAATGAAAAACAGACCACTTTAAGGTACCATTACAATAATTTATTTCACCAAAATCCTTTTTAAAGGAATTCGGATCATCAGGTAAACACTTCCAACAATGAAATGAGAGGAAAAATGTGATTAGAAATTGATGGGTAGTGTAATTTTTGTAATTAAACAGGGAGGGTGAAGGTGGCGGTTAAAGAGACAATAAAAAATATAGGGAGGGTTAAATTTACAACTCCCTTAAATAAACTATATATTGGAGTAGGAGGAGTGACCTAACCATGACCTATTTGTATGGTTAAAGAAAAAGGAAGTGAATTGTAGGAATAGTGAAGAAAGGAAATAAAGTAAAAGTAAAAAAGGGAAAAAATGGAAAAAGGAGACGGGTCCAAATGAGTTTTATGGCAAAGAGGGAGGGGGAGAGGTAAGTGAATCGAAAGAGAGAGAAAGAGGGGAAAAAGACAGACGTATTCAAAAGATTTTTATGGTAAAGAGGGGGGGAGACGGAAGTGAATCGAAAGAGGCTGTAAAAAAAATTTTGTAAAAGATAGATTACAATGTTTGATAGAAAAAAAAAATTATATATATATATATTAGACTCGTATTCGACAAATGAGGATCAAGCAGCTCAGTTCCTAAGAACGGACAGCCCATACACTAGATTTGATATTAGAGGTGAAGGCCTTGTGCAGATCATCCAAACTTTTTGAAGGGCCGAATACGAGCACCCGCAGGTTTTGAATTCCATATCCTAGACCAGTTATTCCTCAATCCGCGCCGCTAACCATTACTCCTATATATATATATATATATATATATATATATATATATTTATTAAAGACATTTTTTTTATGTTTAACGTTGTTATTTATAGATACAAGTATTTAAGCAAATGCTCTGTTTATGATAAACAGTATTAAATAACATTTACCGGCCTGAATGTCCGAGAAATTTTCATAGAAAATATTCGTTCTTTGACAGGATTCGAACCTGCATCCTATACGGAACCGTCATTTACGCTGACGTGCCTAACCTCTTGGCCACAAAGAACCTTTTCGGTAGCCAAGGTCGAATTTACTGCTTATAAACTTCAATCTTCCATGAATCTCGTACATTCATAACTGCTCTGGCGTATCAAATGTAAACAAATGACGTCATATATTAAGAAATGGACAAAGTCCGACAATTTATTTATTAAAGACATTTTTTTATGTTTAACGTTGTTTCGTCTGAAGATGTCTGTAGGAACAGACGAAAGCTTGTAGTAAAAATAAGAACTAATGCGGCAGAAATTTATAGAAACAAGGATCTTTTCATTCATAACGGATTCGGAGGTTTTTGTATATTATTTGAATTGTTTGCGACGATGGATTTCTCGCCAATTAAATCATTAACCTTTGCATTTGTTTTTGTGTGAATAATTCATGAAATATATATATATATATATATATATATATATATATATATAAAGACATTTTTATGTTCATACATTCTTTTTATAGATACAAATATTTAAGTAAATGCTCTGTTTATAATAAACAGTATACAGGAATGTCCGAGAAATTTTCATAGAAAATATTTGTCATTCGACAGGAATCGAACCTGTCTCCCATAGGGAAGCGTCATGTAGCCTGTCATGCCTTATCCGATTGAGCCACAGAGGATCGTTCGGTTAGCAAGATTGATTTTACTGTCTTTAAACTACAATCTTCCATGATTCTCTAACGTACATTCATATCTACTAAATGCGTATTCAAATGACGTCATACATTATGAAATGGACTGTCCGACAATTATTTAAAAACATTTTTTATGTTTATACATTCTTTTTTATAGATACAAATATTTAAGTAAACGCTCTGTTTATAATAAACAGTATCAAAGAACATTTACCGGCCTGAATGTCCGAGAAATTTTCCTAGAAAATATTCGTCCTCCGACAGGAATCGATCCTGTATCCTATACGGAACCGTCATATAGTCTGACGCGCCTTAACTGATTGCGCCACAGAGGATCGTTCGGTTGACAAGGTTAAGTTCTTTTCTCATATTTTCTTACCCTCAGTAAACCTTCGCGTCTTAGTGGCTTTAATACCTTGCTTGGGGTAAAATGATCAAAAAATCGAAAATGTACCTTCCAAGTCGTTAAAATTGAAGATGATTTATTTTTTTTATAAATAATACTTAAATAAATTTAACTTACATTTGTTTTTATCTCTTTTGTGGGAAAATGTAATTACTAATATCATAGTACTAATATCTTAGTAATTACATTTTACCGATAATAAATGACTACTAATATCATAGTACTAATATCTTAGTAATTACATTTTACCGATAATAAATGACTACTAATATCATAGTACTAATATCTTAGTAATTACATTTTACCGATAATAAATGACTACTAATATCATAGTACTAATATCTTAGTAATTACATTTTACCGATAATAAATGACTACTAATATCATAGTACTAATATCTTAGTAGTCATTTTTTATCGGTATTTCTTTTATATCTTCCCT